AATACCATCAGAACGCTAAAGGATATTCCATTTGAAGTAAGACAACGGAGAAGGAAGTACAAAGAACTTGTGCTTTTTCTTCAGACAAACTCAATTGGATATAAATGGCCATTTCCTGAAAGCGTTACTTTTAAGATCAAGGATAAAAAAGAAAAGATTGACTCTGTTCTGAAAGCTCAAGAATTCCTAAGGGTTCAGCTGGGAAAACCAGAGGACGGGAAAAAAGAAGAGGACAGTAAGTCTAGTGGCGAGCTGGACTCGGGTTCTTCCGGGGAGGACTCTCTGACAGAGCAAGGGGCAGCCGCTCCAAAAAGTCCTTATAAGCTGCGGAAGAGACGAGGAAAGAAGTGAAGGCTGAAGGACTCTGAATTGTGCCTTTGAGAACTCTGAAAGGGGATGATTGTGGGGTACTGTTTCTAGACAGTTATATTTAAGAGTTAAAGAAAAAGAACTCAGTTTATAATAATCTAAGTGAAGTGAAGATTTGCTGTAACTAAGCTAGTGAAGATCTCCTCTCTTGGGTTTTTAGTTAGTAGTGGGTTCTTTTGGTTTATCCTATATATATAATCCCCCCTTCCCTTTTTTCTGTAGTAGTTTTGTAGTTTGATAAAAAATAATAAAAAATCCCCTCCGGAGGCTCAAAAAGAAAAAAGGATCCTGCTTTGGAATTGTGTTTTTGATGAATGGTGTCGCCACAGAGCTGTGGACTTATGACTTCTGTGGTGCATTCTGTGGCCATGGACAAGGAATATTATTTGATGGTGATGTTGGGGTGACACAATGACTTTTCTGGTTCAAGCTGTGACCATGGACATGTTATGTGATTTGATGTTGTGTTTGGGGTGACCCAACACAAAAACCTCAAGCATCCATGAACTATGCTCCAGAACTATGTTTTTGCAGCATGGTGTTGCCACAGAGCCATGGCACCATGATTTTTGTGGTGCAGGCTGTGGTCATGGACATGATATGGGATTTAATGGTATGTTTGGGATGTCTCAACATGAAAATCCCAACGATCCATAAGGATCCGTGCTTCAGAATCATGTTTTTGCAGAATAGATTCACCATGAAGCTGTGGATCTGTGATTTTTGTGGTGTAAGTTGTGGCCATGGATGTGCTATGTTATTTGATGGTGTGTTTGGGGTGACCCAATTGAAAAACCCTGAGGATCCACGAAGATCCGTGCTTTGGAACCATGTTTTTGTAGAACAGTGTCGCCACGGAGCTGTGGACATGATTTCTGTGGTGCATTCTGTGGCCACGGACAAGGCATATTATTAGATGGTGATGTTGGGGTGACACAATGCAAAAATCATAAGGATCCATGAGGATCCGTGCTTCAGAACCATGTTTTTGTAGCATGGTGTTGCCACAAAGCCGTGGCACCATGATTTCTGTGGTGCAAGCTGTGGCCATGGGCAGGATATGGGATATAATGGTATGTTTGGGATGTCCCAACATGAAAATCCCAACGATCCATAAGGATCCGTGTTTCAGAATCATGTTTTTGCAGAATGAATTCACCACGAAGCCGTGATTTTTTTGGTGCAAGCTGTGGCCGTGGACATGTTATGTGATTTGATGGTGTGTTTCAGGTTACTCAATTGAAAAACCCTGAGGATCCACGCTTTGAAACCATGTTTTTGCAGTTTTGTGGTGCCACGAATTCCTGGGGGCATGATTTTTGGAGTGCTGCCTATAATCTAAGACATGGTTTACAGTATGATGTTGGTTTTATTTCATTTCACCGTAAAAATCGTATGAATTCATGAGGATCCGTGCTTTGGAATCATGTTTTTGCGCTGTTGTGGTGCCACAAATCTGTGGATGCGTGATTTTTGTGGTGCCCCTTGTAGACTAACACATGACCTACAATATGATGGTGGTTTTATTTCATTTCAATGTAAAAATCATATAAAATTCATGAGGATCCATTTAGATCCGACTTTTACCCAGATCCGGAAAAAATCTATATCAACACACAGCTTGCAACTGTTGTGGTGTCGTGTTTCAAAATAACCGCATCCTTGTTCTTTTTGCCATGTCCAGTAGGTTGTCATCTACTCTTCCCTGGAACTTCATCTCAAACGACTTCCGTATCATTCAAATATCTCCTTATATCGAAACTTTCCTCTCTAATACATGGACGCACCAAGAACTGAACGTTTTACGGCGCAATACTGAATTTCGCTAAACTACACTGCAGTGTTGAATCTCACCACGACAGGCCAGGGAGTTGCTTACTTTACAGCACATATTCCTAGTTTTACAGATTCGGTGGAGCTTTTGATTTGTATTTTAAGCGCGGCTTTCCTCTATAGGGGAATTTGTGTTCTTCCTTTCTAGCTACATGCCAGCAAGAAAAGAAAGAAAAAGATTTCGCACGCGATCCCTGTAAAGCTCACAGCCATAAAAGCGCCTAGCGCAAAAGAAAGTCACTAAGTACTTCTAATATTCCCAGGATGCCCTGGGAAAGCGCGTTGCATCCTGGGAGCTGTAGTCCTGAGCCCTCCCATGCAGAAATAGTGCTAAGCGGGGAGGTGTATGGCAACCTCGGCAGCTCTTTAATGGAAGTGTTCGGCACGCGGCCGCCTCTATGAGGCAGGCAGGTACGTGAGCAATCTCTTGGCAACTGAAAGACCACCTGAGGAGGGACCTAGCTCTTGTGTCGCGGGAAACTAGCCTCCATCGTGAAGGGCTGAAGTCCCAGTAGGCCCTGCTAAGAGGCTTGGTGTCCGCCTGCCCTTTTCCCGGTCACGGGGCAGGCGGGAGGGGAAGGTCACCTCTTGAGGGGCTTCCAGCGGTTGGGTCGTTCTGAAGCCCCTCCCGCACATGACGGCTGGAATCTTGCATGAGGCAGTGTGGTGCAGCGGTTAGTGTCCTGGACTAGGCTGTTGGGAGGTTTGGCTTTCAAATCCCAGCTCGTCATGAAATGTACGGGGTTCCCTTGGTCCAGTCATTCCCTCTCTTAGCCTTAAGACTAAAATGGAGGAACGGAGAGCCATGGGTTGGATCCAGCCAACTGTTACTTCGTTGGAAAAGGGAGGAAGGGAGCCACTTTGCCCACCAAACAGGCTCTGCAGTGCCGCAGATCAGGCGATTTGCACGGACAGAAGTCATGATGTGGGGTGTCATGAGTCATGTGGGATGTAATAAGGGAGGGAACTGGCTGAAACCATGATAAAAAAAAAAAAGGCTGGCTGGCTGGCTGGATCCGACCCCATGTGTGCAGCATTGCCACCCTGAGCTCCTAGAAGGACAAGTAGGATAAAAATATGTTAAATGCATACATTTAATTATCTTGCAAAATTAGGACTATGTTCTAAAATCTCCAGTAAACGGTGAAATCTGTTTGCTGATGATGTTAATAGAGAAAAACCTAATCTACCACCCAGAGTTATGAGAATAAAATGGGAACTGCAAATAGAAGAAAAGGGTCATGTTACCACTAGCAGCTAATCATAAGAATTGACTACTAAAAAGTAAGATAAGGGGTTTTCAAGCTTGCTTTTAAGCGCTTGCCATCAATCCTGCAAGTATGCGCCAGATTTTGGTTTTCAGTGATTAAAACAAGTCTTGGAGGTTTTATTACGTTTGTTCCAGGCTTTATTACGAATACTGAAAACTGTCTTTGAGAATCAGCCCTAAGAAGCTCCCATGTGTAGTGCTCTGCCCTACTGAGTATCTCTCCTGTGCTTTTGGAGTACTGCTTTTTGAAGTTTAGAGAAAACTGCTGTAGAAACCCTGGCAGGGGTTTCATGCTTCAGAGAAAACGTATCCTGCGCTGCATCCTAGAAAAGAGATAAGGAAGAGATGTAAGGAAGAGAAGGTCACTCGTTAGCACCACATCTAACTACATTAAGAGATAAGGAAGACAAATATTCATGTGACTGCAGTGGGTGCCTGAACTGGTAGACTAATACTTTTTTAAAAAAATGCAATATGTAATTATTTCGTTTTTGAAATTAATTTTTCTCTTGAAGTAATAATTTATTTCTTCAAGTAACTAGGGATTATTCAGTCATTGTAACTTTATTTCGTCTTGACTCAAGAAGTATGAACCTGTACCAGAGTTTAGCAAGAAACAGTATGGATAATGGTTAGAATATGAGGCTAGAACCTCGGAGACCCAAATTCAAATTCCCACTAGAAGTTTACTGGTGACCCTGAACTAGTTATTGTTTCTGTTAGCATAACCTGCCTCACAGGATCGTGAGGATGAAATGGAGAGCCATTTGAGGCAATCAGAGTTTCTTGGATGAAGAGCAGGATAAAATGTGATGGATTTATGGCCTTTAAATTTTAAAATATAAGCATCTTGAAAATGTCTTTTTCTATGGGAAAGAATAGTTTGTATTAACTAACGGTGGTAAAATAAATATAGCTAAACTATCTAGCTGCTGTAATCCAACCTCAGTGGTAGGCAATAAGTAAATCTATGTGCATTAAATATGGAAGTGAAAGAGATTCATAATCCCACCATTTAGGGTATATATTGCTGTTTTATGCCATATACATCTTTTGGTCCATGTAGCCCAGTATTTTCTGTTATGAATTGAGAGTTCTGTTTAGCACTGGAACTGACTCTCCAGGACCTCAGGAAATGTATTTCCCAGATGCAGGGATTAAATCTGAGATTGTCTATAGAAGAAGTGACAACCAATGCCTGAGTTAAAATAATTTGCCTAGTCATGGTTTAAATGCTGTTGTATCTGATAAGAAAAGAAAATTTATGCAAACGTATCTTCACAAATTTGTATTGCTTTTCTCATTTGCCTTGCAGATTGACTAATGGAAGAATGGATAAAGATGTACAGGAGATGGTTAAAATCTAAAATATTTGAATAATATGCAGATCACATAATATGATAATGTAAGATGCTTTAAAAAGATGCTACATACCTCGTTCGCCTGGCCAACACTAATGCTTACTTTAATACTTACTCCTTTAAAATATTAATGTGTACTGAAGAATTAGATTTCTAGTGCAGCTAAATCTTGTGCAAGGCCTTTGGAAGAAAAATGTCCCTTTCTCGAGTTGAAAATCCTTGCTTTCTTCTTTTCTTGGTCATCTTTCAAGCAATATTCATTTTGATATTATATCGAGGTGGAGCTTCGAGTGTGTTTCGGGGTTTTTTAGATGTTCCTCAACCATTGGACTACTCAAAAACGGAAGATGTTTATACAAATCTCAGCTTGTTTATTCACGCTCCTAATAAGGAAACTATGCCGTACTGTACACCACAGTCACCAATATTTGGTATGTATACAATGAAAAAAAAGATATTTTTGCCCTTGCCCTCACAAATTGATCTGGGTCAACCCAACCTTATGATCAGATTGAAATACATAAATCATGTACAGGTCGGGTTATCTTCTCCTGGGCCACATTTAATTTGAGTTGCCAGACATTTGCAAGCTTTCTTCATAATTTTGTACATATTATATGTTGAAATGATAGGATATCATTCTGTCCATATAAAATTATGGATACTTGTCCCTCTTTTTGGTCTGAGTCGACAATCAGTGTAACAAATAGTTGTTGTTATGTTGGTTAAGGTTTCATCCTTGGCTGGAAGATAGTAAAGCTTGTTACTTGTTTCATATAGAGTTGTTTTCTTGTGTATCTTGGGAGCTTCAGCTACTGCAGAGATCTTTGATTTGAAACTGCATAAAGTTCCAGTGGACTCAAAAATTGTTTTCTTAGATTATTTGAAAGGCTAGTTCAGGATGAAGAATTAATAATAAATACATAGTAGATGGAGATTAGTTTGCGATGGAATTGTTGGACATTAACCAAAGCAGAATTATTATTAAAATATGATTAAATTGACCTTTTTGGTAAGGGTAAATCTATACTTATAGTTTTTATATTACCATATCTCATAGCAATTCCTGGAATCGCTTTCTTGGATTCCAAGATCCTTTTGATTTTTTTCCTGTATTGTAACAATGCTTTTATGATAATCTAACATTAAAACTGAATGTAGGCAATTATGCTTAAAAGTGCAGTTCAGATAGATTGGGGGGGGGACTACTTTGGAACCCGAATCTGGAATGAAGTCAGGCAGTTAGGCCAGGAGCAATTTCAGTTTTATATTTTCTCAAAACTCTGGCATCAGAGCAGTTCAAGGCAGGTAGGCACAGTTTGGAATGGCTGTTCTTGTATGACAAGTTCAGCAAGTTCTTTCTCCTCCAATATGGCTTCCTAGTTGCATGGCATAGAAGTTGTCAGGTGCTCTGACTTTCTGAGCAACCTATTTCTTGCCAAAAATTTTTACTGTGGTTTCCTGGGTCTTTGGAGAATAACCTGGTATAGTTTGGTAAAACAGATGTCTATCTTCTGACCCTGTGCTGCTTTGAGATTAAAATGTTACCTTGTGAGCAGAGCTCAACTTCTAATCTGATCTGGCAAATCTTGAATGTACACACATGCATGTGAGCTTTTATAGATGGGCCTTTGAGAATCATTTTGCGTCAGTCTGACAACAGATCTTTCAATTTTTTGCTTTTGTTGTTCATGTTAAAGGAGCATAGTGTTTGGCAGGTAAGCTTGTTTTTTCTTGTGTTTGCATTCCCTTATGTGTTAAACTTGCACTAGAAGCTGCTGCCTTCTGCAGGAAGCAGCTTTTCCCATATCAATTAACTCTCATTATTCAATACACTGACCTTGCTGTCCTGAGATGTAACACTAGCTTGTGTGAGTGCTACCAATTAGCATCCAGTGATCTCTAACAAGCCATCATGTGGCATTTTATATTTTTTGAGGGAAATACATTTTCAGCAACTAATCCTGGGTAGTTTCAGGTAGATAGCTGTGTTAGTCTGTAGTGGCAGCACAAAATTTGAGTCCAGTTTGCATATTACAAACCAACAAAATTTTCCAGGGTGTAGGCTCACTTAGTTAGATGAAGTGAGGTTTGACTAAGAAAACCTAATACCCAGGAATTTTTTGTTGGACTCCAGGGTGCTACTAGACTCAAATCTTGTTCTATATTTGGGTAGCTGCATGACTTCGGATTTGTTCTCACATGATTTATTTCAGCTGTTGCTTTTCATAATGTTTTTATGGAACCAGAGGTCTCTTTGCTCAAGGAGAAGGCACTTCTGCTCATGAAAGGGGAAGGTCTCTGATTTGTGCAGATTCTTGTCCCCTATCAACATTAAATCCCACACTGCTCCACAGATTTCTCAGCCCTTGTGAGAGCTGTGGGAGTAGGGTGGTACACAGAGGGCTCCAGCAGAAAGGGAAGATGGAAAGCCCTGATGCACAAGCAAAACTGCACTGTGGTTCATCCAGATCCAGACTGTTCTTATTACTTCAGGATACAATACCCAATGATTAGTCAAGGTATAGTTTACTGTAATTCTTGGAATAATGGACAATGTCTTGATGGCACTGGCAAGAGAAGTTTTGTGAACTCAGATGAAGAGTTATGGAGAATTTGAAAGCCTGCCCACTTGTCTGGTGATACTTCAGTTGGTCCTAATAAAGGTGTTACACAGCTTTGGGGGGGGGGATTTTCTGTCAGGCTACCACAACTACCTAGGATATCTGTTTTGGGAAGATGATCTGGGATGGGACTTTGTTTAGGAGGTTTTCCTGTCCCCCAAACTACTAGAAAATATTATCCAGTTTGGCTTCTCTTGAATCTTTATTAGTTTATCATCTAAATTAATCTCTGTTTTAGTTAATACAAGAACTACCACATTTTACCTCTGCCCTTGGCCTACTAAGGGACATGTACATTCTGTTTCATGGCTGAAATATATTTGCTTAACTGCTAGTTTTTATATTCTTAACTGGGGGCTGCTACTGTTTGATTTTCCTAGAAGTTTTGGGTGCACACTGAAGCCAGCTCTCCTGCCCACTCTAACCTCCCCTAGCACCACCACATAAATTAATTTAGTCTACAGTACATCCCATGCAAGATGCAGACAAAAAGCATTAACATCATAGCCTGAAATATCTTTTTTCTCCTACTCCCTTTTATTTATTTATTTGAACATCGAAGCAGAATTTTTTTTGGGGGGGGGGAATGAAATGCAATACTTTCTTGTCAAACCTTAATTTATTTTATTGCTTTAGCCACCTAGTTTGACCAGCATTTAAAATTGTACTGTTCGATATATTAATGTTATTTAAAAGAAAAAATGCCTTGGCTTTCTATAAGCAAGATTGCAAATACACCCAATACTAAAGAGAAAGAGAGAGGCAAACTGCTACACCCTTTGCCACCTTAACACAAGTACCTTGGTTTTTGCCATCTGAAATGGAAAAAATTCAAGTTGTCTACAGTATACATATGAATTACTATTTAATGCTGTAAATTCTTACATTAGAATGTTCATGGTAGGCATTCTGGGTGACTTGAAAAGTATTTCACTCCTCCTAAGACAAGACAGTATTTCATAGTTGTTATTTTTTTAGTGCTCCCCAAAAAGTCCCTTGGGAATTTCTTTCTCCCCCTGGACATCACATTTCTAGGTTGTATAACTGATCATAACATAAATGTCTGCATGTAAAGTGATATGACACTGAGTTCTCTATGGAATTTCTCAGATTATGACATCAGAATACTTTGAAGTTTTAAATTCAGACAGTGGAATTATTTTTCAAGTCAAATTTTAAGTGTTATTTTAGCCATGATTTTGACATATCTCCCTTATAAATAAAAGCCGAATGGTGGTGGCACTTCTCTAGAACATTCCACACGCTCCAAAATCAGTTCACTCTCTGATCTGTCATTCAGAGGGTCTCCCTATCCACTGGCTGCTTTGTCTGAGTCCTGCCTCCAACATTCCTCTCCCCCCCATAGCCAGTCAGAACACAGAGGTTATTTGCATATGCAGCCTTGTAATTTGCATGGGCAGCCTCATTGGCCTCTGCCTCGGAACACAGAGGTCGTTTGCATATGCGACTTGATTGGCTTTTGCCTAACATTCTAAACAGTTTTGCTGTTCTGAGGTAAAATGTGTCCAATCTCCAGGTGAGGGCTGGAGATCACTCAGAATTACAACTGCTTTCCAGATGGCAGAGATCTGTTCCCCTGGAGAAAATGGTGGGCTCTGTATCTTTATATGCTGCTGAGGTGGCCCCCGTATGACAGCCAATGTGACGTAGCAGTCAGGGCTTCAGAGCACGGGAGAAGCTGCAGGTGTGTGTGGGGGGTGGAAAGCTGAAGAGTGAGGGGGAAATAAAGGTAGCTTGATGATTGTCTGGGAAGGAGATAGGGTTGCCAACAGGTGGGAAATTCCTGGAGATGTGAGGGATGGAGCCTGGAGAGGGTGAGGTTTCAAAAGGCGTGGGACCTCAGACAGGTACAAAGCCATAGACTCCACCCTCCAAACCAACTATTCCCTTCTGGGGAACCATCATTGCCAATCTCCAGGTGAGGGCTGGAGATCACTCAAAATTACAACTGTTCTTTAGGTAGCAGAGATCAGTTCCTCTGGAGAAAATGGTGGCGTCAGTGTCATTATACCCTGCTGAGGTCGCCACAGCAAATTGACACTGAGTGTCCAAGGCCGGGGCACCCGCTCAGAGCCTCTTTCTAGAGGTTGTTGTATTTATTTCCACAACGGGCCTTTTTCCTAGTTGAATAATATTCTTATTGACCAGTCATCTTGTTGCCCTTCATTTTATATTCAGTTAGTGAATGTGGGGGTTTCTTCCCTTCCCACTCAGTGTGTTGAGTGTCTAAGAGGTTTTTTTCATTGGTTTTTTTTTAATTGTCCCATGACTCAAGTTTCTGCTTTGAACTCTGAGCTATTACAGTTTGCTCTGATTGGTAAAAATAATTATTTTTCAGACCATTCTAACAAATAATGTGAATCAAACTCTATCTTGCGAAGTGATTCAGAATATTGCTCCACTATGAACTTGTTGTTCATTATATTGTCGTTCTACAAGGAAGAAGTGAGAAATAACAGCATGTTGTGAGACCTCCTTGTGCAGTGGCCATCACTGGACTTTCTTAAGGACAGGAGCCACTCTTTGCTCAGTACAAGAATCAGGCTCTTATCTGCAGTGCATTTGCCCTTCAGCTTGACTGTATTTTACCCCACTTTTCTGTCAGAAAAATTGATTCTCACTGGCTTCTTGCAATTAACTACTAATAAAAAAACACCCTTGAATAATGTCTTGGTCCCTGCCATCTTCTTGTCCTTGCCGAACTACTGAAATGTCATCCTCAGCTACAATCTGGCATGGCTATTGGTTACTCTCACGCAAGCAAGATCAGGATAGCAAAGAATTAGTCAATGTAGGCTTTGTACCAAGCCTCTGGCATCCCGGCTTCTATTGATTGTGAAAATGGAACAGTTTTAATTTAAAAAATGTTAATTGAAGCTCTGTGACCTCACAAACCCTGGGAAGCTGGATTGTATACTTAATAGCTCTTGCTGTTCAAAGCAATCCTAGGACTGCTTCCACTAAAGCACGTTTCCTCCTTGAAGAAATATATATGGAAAAACATGCTCAAATTGGAAATCCATGTGGATTTTCTAACAGAGCCTTAGGAACAGAGCACTAGCCCCTTGCTCCTGCTCTGTAATCTTCCAAGCATTTACACGTGATTTTTCTCATTCTAACAGCATTTTTCACATTTGTAAGGACTCTTCCTTAGAAGGAGGGTATTTATGTCTTAAGTGCCACCTGCCAGTTTGGGGGAAAGGTGTATCTCACTGAATGTAAACAGTGATTCCAAGCTTGTTGGTTGGCCCACTTTTCATGGTTCTCTTCTTGTTTTGTTCTATCCCCTCACCCCATTTTCTAATGTAGTTGGACCCTTAACAATCACCTTTAATACACTACCCAGTGAAAGAACAATCATCAGCAAAAACCCTTATGTCCAGTTAGGTGGGCGCTACAGCCCGCCCCACTGCCTGGCTCGTTACAGAACGGCAATCATTGTGCCACACAGGAACCGTGAAAAACAGCTGCGGCACTTGCTGTATTACCTTCATCCCTTCCTCCAGCGTCAGCAGCTTCACTACCGCATCTACTTGATTCACCAGGTAAACTAAGACCAAGGACATGTTGCTTGTCTCTTGCTGAGGAGTGTAGATGGCTGTTGAATAAAACATGCCATCCCAAATGTCTTTTGAAGTACAGTGTGGGGGAACAGGCACATCTTTTTTGTGTGTATGTACACAAGGCTGTTTTAGAGTTTTTTAAAGGCAAAAGCTGCTTTACTTGGCACTTCTGCAGAGTGGAAAGATGAAATGTCAGGGATAATGCAGATTTCCAAATTGCATGTGGGTTTATCTTTTAATTACTTGTGCTACTTTTACCAGGCAAGGAAAAATGCTATGAGCTCAGCTTAGTCCAAACTTTTAAACATTTGTGACATTTACATTCTCTACCCATGCAATGTTTATGTTTTTTTCCCTCTCTTTCAAAACACCTATGGGAAACCATGGTAAAAGATGGACACTAATTGGAAGGAAGCTTTCCCCCCTTTAGATCTTAAAAATTGTGTTTTGTTTGCATATATGAAATTGAAGTTGAGGCTCATGTTAGCTGCCTTGAACAATGACCATCATCCCCAGCAATGAGCACCTCCCAATTTCATGATGTTACACATGTCCTGAAAGGGCCTGAAATCTTAGCAAAGTACTGGGTTAAGAGCTCTTTTTAGCCTCAGTCTACCTTTGTCAGACTTTGTTCTTTACCCTTCATGTTCTTCTTTCAAAGTCCATTGTTGCTTCTGTATACATCTTTCAGCTTCCATGTCTCTGGGCTTTCTGGCCCTGAGATTCTCTCTGTCCCAGAATCTCTTGCTAGTACTCTGTCTTGTTCCTGTGTGAGGAAACCATGTGTTGAGGTATTTCTCTCCCCTCACAGAAATTGGACTGCAACCTGTTTAATTTCCCCAGTAACTGGATACTCCATGCTATCATACCAAACCAGCCAATCATGCCAAGGTTTCACTGCAGCCTAGATTTTACAAGGAGATACTTGTCCCCTGATCATGTCACTGTTGTGTTCAGTAATGAGTTGCACATTCTCTTTCCAGGCTGGAAACGGTCCATTTAACCAAGCAAAGCTCCTTAATATTGGTGTCCGTGAGGCCATGAAGGATGATGACTGGGACTGCCTGCTTCTGCATAATGTAAACCTTGTTCCAGAGAATGATTATAATCTCTATGTCTGTGATGAATACTACCCCAAACACATGTCCAGTGCCATAGACAAGTTACAGTACAGGTAATCCAGTACACCCAACAATTCTCAGTAATGTGGGTAAATATATTTAGTATAAGGCAATGCCTTCCTGTTGCCAAAATTAGCCTTAGCAAGGCATTGGGTACTAAGAGCTGTTTACATCTGATTTCTTAGACACGAAGAATAACAGATATGTGCTGTTATGTCATTGTCGTTTACCTTTTATTTCAAATCCTTCATTGCCCACCAGGAAGAAACATAGCAGGTTCATAACCTGAAATTTTGTGTGTGAGGGGAATGTAAATCAGTACAGAACAGCAGAAAATATAGATACCATTAGTCACTATTAACGTTTTAGAACTAATTTATTCAAAACTTTTAACAGAATTGTACTGTGTGACAAGCTCGAGCAAGTACCTCTCAGTCAGTCACCGGGACCTTGGAAGTTAGCCAGACAGCTGGATGCTGGGAACAGATTTCTTACAGAGCAGTGAGGTAGAACACGCTCCATTTCTGCTTATATCTCTGGGATGGAAGCATCACAGCCCGCAGGAGCTCTGTTGAAAAGTTGCAGCATGCCAGTCTTCTGTTTGCCAGTCATAACTGAGTTGATGTCTTGTGGTAGCTGGGGCTTTCTTTCTCCAAAGCTGTGCTGATTGTTATTGTGTTTCAAGACACAATGTAAAGGCAGTATTTGAGTCTGTTATACATAGAGTCAGAGAGTTGGAAGGGGCCGTACAAGCCATCTAGTCCAACCCCCTGCTCAATGCAGGATGAGCCTAGAGCATCCCTGACAAGCCACATGCATGCCAAATCTATGTAAATATTTTTCAACAGTGCAATTCAAGATAGTTTGTAAACTGCCTGAGATAATGTTTATTTTTCTTACCTGTAGTTTGCCATATTGGTCCTTCTTTGGTGGTGTGTCTGCTTTGACCCCAAATCATTACATGAAGATGAATGGATTTCCAAATACCTACTGGGACCGCGGCGGTGAGCATGATGACATTGCTGAAAGGTACTACCCAGGGCCGGCCAGGAGAGGGCCCTTGAAAAATGCCAGACTGTACTTTATTCCAACTCAGCTGTAATAGCTGGTGGCAAACACAGTGTGTGTCTGCCTTAGGAGAAGGCGCTGATTTAGAGAGAGAAGTAGGGTATCTTGCTGGTCAGCCGTTGTTGAGGAAGAGCACCATTAGACAAGACAACTGCGATCTCATATTGTGTGTCATTAAAACTTTTCTAAAAAGCAGACATAGGGAGTGAAATTTGGATTGTGAGGGAGCATGGTGTTTTTCGTTTTTTAAATCCTGTGTTCTGTGTGGGAACGTGTGAGTCTATTTAAGAAACTTTAAGAAAGAAAGACCCCTACCTGCACCAGTCTAGCAGCCAGGAAGCTAGTAGTCTTAAGGAATCCATTATGCTGTTATACTTCTCAACAAACTCTATTTCTAAATAAAAACAGCTGATTCCTTTAGAGCAAAGGAGCCCCTTTTACCTCACAGCCACTGCCATACGCTGACTATTCTGTCATTCTACCCAATATAACTAAGCCATCCTGGTTAAACTAAGAAGTCTAAGGTGAGACCCCATGGTGGAAGCAAAAATCATTACATAATACTAAATACGTTCAGGAGGCACCATAATGCAAGTCATTTTGGAGCATTCTAGAGAGGTACCATTACAGGTGTTACATACCAGGGGTTTCATAAAGGGGATAAAGCATCACAAGAGTACACCTTGAGAAGGAGCTATGTATGCCCAAGGAAGTGACTTCATATCAGAATTCTGTAGCAAATGTAGTCTGAAGACTTTATTCAAACCCACAGTTCTTGTTGTTTTAACAAGAGTCCCCTTTCCATTCTACAACTCTTTGACATGCTAGGTGTGGTACTGTTTTAGTGCCAGTAAGTAGTTCATATTGTACTTGGTTACTCAGTGATATCTGAGGAAATTCAATATGTAGTCAGTTAGCTGTAGACTTTTATGGCTGTCTTGAGTCTGTTTTTAAGAGGGCTTCCACTAACTTCAGTGGGGCCTAAAGTGCAAAAATCAGTTACCCGCACCAGGGCTACAGCCCAGAAAATTGAACTTCTGACTCGGTTACTTTTTAAACAAACAACAATCCATTTGCTATTGATGGTTTTTGAAGCACAGGAGTTTCAAAAGCAGCTTGTGATTAGAGCAGCAGGAGGTAGCTGTTTTGAAATACAAGAGCACACCAAAGGGACTTTGAATTCAGCCTTGAGTAAGAGGATACTGGGTGACGCTACAAAGGCATAGCTTCTTTTGAGTATTTCATTAAAGATTAGCCAGTTGCTAGTTTGATTAAAAACAACCAAAATTCATACTGAGGCTGATTCATTGTTGTCACAGTAATCAAAATCTTGAAGGAACTGAACAAAATCTTTGCATGTTTCCCATTATTGGATGTTGTTGACAGATTATAAAAATAAATGGAATGTTTTGTTCAAACAAAGGGAACCCTACCAAGTATTGTGCTGCTGAGCTGGGAAAGTTGAATGCAAAAGCATGATCAAACAAAAAAAGAATGTTAAAGCATGCTACTTTTGAAATGGGCGTTAACTCATCATGTCGGGAAATATGCCCAGTTTGTGTCACTTACCAGAGCAGAAACTGTGGCCTCTGTACAGTCTCATATATGTTGCTGTGCATAGATGTAGAAGCAACTGAATAAGATACTAGAGTTTAAGGCAAAAAATTCAATTCAAAGTCAAATCTCCTGCCTTCCCCTAAGGGAAAAATGTTGCCTCTCTCCACAAGCCTCAAGTGGGAGGGGGTTTGTCCTAACCACCATGTTGGTAGCAGCTCCATCTCTGGAGAAAAATAGGAGAGAAACTCCTTCTCTTTAAACAAGTATGAGGGTAGTTAATGAACTTCAGTCCTCATTTTTTTTGTTTTTTCTTCAGGTGTGTCCCCCCCCCCTTCAGCCAATATGGCACAGTAGCCTTTCATTATACACTAGTGTAGGTGTGGGGGACAATCAGTCACATGGTCTTTGCTTACTGTGGTTGGGTGAGGTCCATAAAACTGATTCCTGCTCGCTTTGTGCTAAGTTCACAATAAGTAGTTGGGTGAGGTCCATAAAACTGATTCCTGCTCTCATTGTGCTAAGTTCACAAGACAGGCAAAAAGAAGTAGTATGCTGTGTGTACACTTTCCTTGGTGCTGATAGGTTTAGTGGACTCAACTCTGCTTCAGGATCTTGATTATCAATACTATCACCATCAGGAGCTGGGGCTGTCTTAACAGCTTCAGCTTCTTCCTTTCAGGGCACGTCCTAAAACTCTGATCTATAGTTGTATAAAACCACTATAGAGCGAGAAGAGAAACAAAGGCCATTGGATTCAGTCTGGTCCCTTGATATCATAGAGGTTCCTGTTCTCCTACGATACCAACACTTTCTTATTTGGTATTTGAGCCATGTGTTTTCCCATTCCTGATAGCTGTTTTTGCTCCTTTGCCATTAAAGGCAGAGCCACAATCGAGCCCCCTACTCCAGCTCTCTCTCCAGGAGAGCTGGCTGGTCGCTCCCACAAACCGGGAGCCCCCAGACGAAGCGGGAAGGAATCGGGCGTCCTCAGCTGCAGCTGCGGACTGCCTGTCGCCGCGCCATGCTGACCGGAACCCCGTGTTTTCCCATTCCTGATAGCTGTTTTTGCTCCTTTGCCATTAAAGGCAGAATTGATTCTGGAGCATTTTTGTGGGAGTTTCCCTCAGCTCAGCTTCTGTGTACTGATATTCTCTGGTTGGGAGATATATCTTTGGCTGAACTGTCACTTCACTCTCCCACAGACTTCTTGGGTATCTCTATAAGTTATCCCTTTGATCATCAAGACACTGTCCGTTGCATTTGTATACAGAGCAGAAATATGAGGTGGTTACCACCTTGCCATCTTTCTCCCCACATCCTCAAGATGAGTAAATAACTCTCATAGAAAGGATTGTGGAAATTACAACCATTTCTTCACTGCAGTGGCCCACCAAAAGGATGCAAAAGTTCTCCTAGGTGCCTTACATAGAGCATGGTATCAGCTATAATGTGTTAGCAACAGTGTTCCCACTAACCTGAGAGCCAGTTTGGTGGCTAAGTGTGCGGTTATGTGTGCAGTCTCTAATCTGGGAGAACCGGGTTTGATTCCCCACTCCTCCACTTGCACCTGGCTGGATGACCTTGGGCAAGCCATAACTGGCACAGCTGTTCTTGAAAAAGAGCAGTTTCTGTCAAGAGTTCTCTCAGCCCCACCTACCTCACAGGGTGTCTGTTGTGGGGAGGGGAAGGAGTTTGTAAGCCGCTCTGAGACACCTTTTAGCTGTCTTAACTAAAGTAAACTGTCCTCATGGGCTAGCATTTCTGGACAAAAGATAAAGCTCATTTCAGAAGACATCACAGTGCTAAACATAGAGCAACATATGTCAGAAGCTTGGCATTGACCTTAGGTGGGCTGAAATGCTTAAATACTAAGATCTAAAGAGACAGATGTTCACCTGAAACTAGGAGCATACCTTAGTAGTAGCCCTGTTGCTTCAAACACAGGATCTGTCTCTAGACCAGCATTCTGTTTCCCACAATGGCCAGCCAGATACTTTAAAGAAGGCAGCTCACTTTTAAGCTGGTATTCTTCAAATTTAATTATAAAAATTATTAATAGATAGCTTTACATTCATGAGCTATGTCATTTTGTATTGGCCTCAGAATCAAACGTGGCTTTCAACAACAAGAATATATGCATTTGAAGAGCTTCATGCCTTCAGAGTTCTAGATTCACATGAGGTTTTGTCCTGTTAAGGTGTCCAGTTAGCCTATGAAAATTGCTTGGCTGTCAGGATATTGATTGTTTTACAGCTCACTTGGAAGATTCCATGAGGGACTGCGATAGTTTCAGGATAAGCCATCTCCTTGGCAGGGTTATTTTTCTTGTGCTGCCGCTCCTTACTCTACCCCCACCTCCCCTAAAATAATGATTTTCAGGGGAGTGCGCTTGAAGCTTCAAGGAGCTGATTAAGAAGTCTGGTTGGTATGCAGATGAACAGCCCCTTCCACATCCTATGGTAGCCTGTGCAAAGAGACAGTTCTTGAAACAAGGCTCCTTTTTTCCTCTTGGGCCGGATGCTACTGGCGAAGGTTCATGTGGCAGCACACGCCACATCACCACTGAAAGCTCACTGTGGGTTTTATGCTGAACAGATACAGATTTGGAGAAGGAAAAAGTTTTCTCTTGTGCTGCCTCCTAAAGCAGCTCTGGCCAGGGAACCTTCACTACGCCTGGCCTAATAATGACCCCCTAACCCAGAAGAAAAAAAAGCAAAGTCACCAAACCTGAAGTGACTTTCAGTTTGCAGACCTTCAGGGCGCAGTGTTAAGTCTGAGGAAGAGACGTCTGCAGTCCCTCTGTTTTTAGTTTTCTCTTGTGCTGCCTCCTAAAGCAGCTCTGGCCAGGGAACCTTCACTACGCCTGGCCTAATAATGACCCCCTAACCCAGAAGAAAAAAAAGCAAAGTCACCAAACCTGAAGTGACTTTCAGTTTGCAGACCTTCAGGGCGCAGTGTTAAGTCTGAGGAAGAGACGTCTGCAGTCCCTCTGTTTTTCAGCTGAACTGAAATCAGTCTTGGTTTAACCATGTTGAGAAGTGCATCTCTGAAATCTGTTACTAATGCTGCCTCCCAATTTCTTCATATCAAAAGAATTAGGTTAGCATTTCAGGAATGAAAATAGTTCGGACCCCACTGCATCTTGGGCGTTACAAGATGATGGACCATGAACAAATTTCTGACTATGCTGAGAATATTAAAAGGTCAGTATTGGGGGGGGGGTTACCCTTGCTTGGTCACATTCACCTAGAATCATTCTCTGTTCTTCCTATTAGACAGGGCTGTTGATACATGTGGCAACCACATCAACTTTTCCCCACAGAGTTATCCTTAAAGTGTGTATTTTACATGCTATAGAGGTGCAGCACTTCTAACCCAGGTATTTTTCCAGCAGGAGAGAAAGGCCTTCAGAATCACTCTAAAATTTAGCTAGCTTTTGGCTACAAGGGCACTGTGGGGTTCCAAATATGAAAGTCTTTAGCCTACCAATTGACTTCCCTGTGAAAGTCTCTTTGTGGGCTTCATGTATCTGATAAGCTGGCTTGTAGGCAACAAGACGAAGATTCACACTTTTTTTGTTTTCCTTTCCCTCAGGCCTGCTGTATTACACACTAGAACAACATGGAAGGATGATGGAATGAATTCTCTGGAGTTCAAAGTCTTGGCCAAGAAGCAGTATCCTCTTTATACTAACATTACTGTGGATATCGGGGACCCCCCAATGCTCCCTTCACTGAGCAAAATATAGGAAAGGAAAGTTTGAGATTGTGACAATATCTGGCTGTTTGGCAATGCTGGATGTGCTGGAGAACACAAAGGTTATGAAAGAGCATTTCTTTACTCTGGACTTCCGTTTACAAGAAGGAAATTAGAAGTGCCCAGGAACAGCAACCGTTGTATTAGCTTTATTGTGGAAAACACTTGAGCATTGTTAACTGCAATGACTACTGAGGCTCTGCACTCTTCCCTCACTACTTGCACAGCTCTTCTCAAAGAGCGAATTGTAGACCATCCAACCAGCTACACTGTGATTGTGGGTACTTCTGATTATTGTATCCTTTCTGCAACTACCTGAGCTGAGTGTAAGATGCTCTTACATGTTTGACCTAGTTTAGGAACAGTTTTGTTTTCAAAAAGGCCTGCTGGTTAGACAACCTGTTCTTCTGCACCTTAGTGCTAAGGCTTTAAGGCTGCCGTTAAGTGTTACTATATTCAAAGTGTTAACCCAACCCAGTGAAATCAAACTCAAGCATGAATGCATATATATATGAAAAAGTTGAGAAGCAATGTTTTTAGTAATGTTCCTAAAAGTTATTTGCACTGTTTCATGCTTCAGCAGACTTTGACTGTCCCTACACCCAACTACCTCCAGAAAGCTGCTGCTCACACCCAGTACAGTCACCATGGGAGTACACCTGAGAACTTCCTGTGACAAACCATCTGGCCACAGTGTATGACTGTTTGCCCCCATAAATTATATATTGCAGCACTTGTCTGTCACCAACTGCTGAGGATTTTGTAAACACTATAAGATGGTACATTTTTGTGTTGCAGTTTTATAAGAACATTTAGAGAAATATCAGTTTTTTTCCTAAGGGATTTTCTAGAGGACATTACGAAGGTGGGCAATATAGTATGTGAGAATTAACTTACAACCTACTGTAAGCAGTGGAAGGCTGAAAATAATGTGGCTCAATCTAAAGTGAGAGGGATACTTGCACTGTACAGTCAGAGTTGTTCAGACCACATGGTGTTACTGAGAATGCACTAATCTAAAAACCACTTTCCCACATGCAAACAGACTTATTTCTTCCCTAAGATGGTTCTTAAAGGCCGTGTCATTTAAATTTCTCAACAGTGTTTCACTGTATTTACTTGCACTTGTTTTCCAAACTTGTTCTCTGTATTACAGTAAAAATTAGATATAAACCAAGGTGTTCTTAAAAAACTGATAAATTAAGAACCACAATTCAGCTATAATACAACCAGAATAAGCATTTTTAGACAGGTTTAAATTAGTACCTTTTTCAATTTGTCATGGATCCATTCATTTCTGTTGCAAGCAGAATAAAATTTAATGTGAGAAACTAAAACTGTAAAGCTGGAAGTGGTTTTGTTGTCCACAGCTGCTAAAAAATGTCAGCAAGATAGTTTCATAGCACAGCAATTTGAACTGCTCTGACCCTAGTCAAGAGCTCATCTGGATTTGACAGGTTCTAAAGAGTATAAAAAACAGCCACTCACCAGAAGTCTGGCTTGTTTCAAAAGGCAGGGCAACTATACTATAAGCAGGTAGTAATAATCATCAGTTAATGATTTCTGTTCAATTGTCAAGAGCACTTCTCCTCTTTGAAGTGATTACCACCACGTGTGGGCTGTACAATGCAGAAACATCTACACATTGTGAATCGTATAAATAAACACATCTACTTTTCCCTTACTAATATGTGAAAAGTGCAGATCTAATGCTGGCGTTAACTCTAGTCTATGTCACTGGGCTGGCACTGGAAGTGGCTCCCAATCAAATACCATGAAATGCATAAAAACGTTTCAGTTTGAGCATCTACATTAAGAACACTTTTCTATTGACTATATTCTTGATGTATAAACCACAGAATGTTCATTTCTCCCAGAAAATTCTCCGCTTCATTCTCCACGACAAAACAGGTGACACTTTTAATATTATGTGCTGGGAGGGGCCGTGGCTCAGTGACAGAACACCTGCTTTGCATGCAGAAGATCCCAGGTTCAAGTCCGTGGAGATATTCAACTGACTCCCCAATACAGTCTCTTTTGCCATCACATAACATGGCTGCCCATATGGCTATTTCATTAGTATTCACACAGTCCCACTGATTATCTTATATAAACATGAAATCTCTATTTAGATACTGTTAGCAAAAATTAGCTGCAGAATTCAGTGGGCTTATCTGTGACCCTATTGGCTGACAAGTAACTGGAAAAAATAACTGTAGAGATACTATATTTTATTTGTGAGCGTTAAAATCTCCCACATTCTTACACTGGCTGTTATTAGACAGTGTCATGTACCATCCACTCAGACAATGATGATGAGTTCTTGTTCAGCTGGCTTGCTGCATGGTTTACCTGTTTTAGAAAAAGGGTTGTGCTGTGGGTGAAAAAGCCATTTGTCTTTGCATCATTGAAAGATGGCACTGTGTTGTCACTATATTCCAGTTCCTACTTTTAAAAAAGGTAGAAATTCAATATCAGCTAACCAATATTCCCTTCCAGGGGAAAGGGCAACATTTTGTCCTGGAGGGAAAAAGACAGCTCCATGTAGACGTTCTCCCAAGTCAAACTTGATCACTGGTGTCGCCCCGAAGTCCAAGACAATTTACTGCGAAACTACTCAGGCTGAGGACACTATTGTACCTCTGTAGCATAGTTCCTGCTGGGAAAACTCTTGATGAAGCAACCTTTAAAAATGCTGCAGTTCTGTTGACTTGGAAATTCTTTTCCATTCCCACTACATTCACTGTTGTGAGAGTCCGTTATGAGGTCTTGACTGGCATGCCAAAATCCACAGTTATGTTGGTATACAAAGGATTGTATTCCACTGAGAGCAGCTTATAAGAACAGGAATTTAGACCATCTGTTTTCCATACTCGAGATACCTGACGCAAGAGAGTCATCCTGAGCAAATTGGAGGGGAGGGGGGAGAAAAAAGAAAAATTGAAGACTGAAAAATTGTAAGAGCTACAAAAGCAGAGGAAACCTAAATTCTAGCAAAGGAATATGTAATAAACTGCAACTTGAAAGGCAACTGACTCCTTTTGTGAGTAAATCTGTATATGCTATTTTACCGGGTTTAGGTCTTAATCTGCTGACACATGGTGATTGGCCATGCTCTTCTCTGATGGCACATCACATTCCTCCAGTTCCCCCTTCCACATATTTATAATCAATTAAAAGAAAGGCAAGAGTTATGGCTTGGTGGTGAAGCACATGCTTGGCATGCAGAGGAAGGTCCCAGGTTAAATCTCTGGTATCTCTAATTAAAAGATTTCAAGCAGAGAGGCTGCAGGAGACTGGAGACCCTGAAGACCCATGATCCTGTAGTGCTTTACTGCCTATCAGAGTAGACAATATGTGATCTAGGGACCAAAAGTCTGACAAGACCATGCCTTGCCCTAACTCACCTGTGTCCGTTTGCCTCATTGCCTCTGTCTCTTGTGTGGAAGATCATGGTGTACTTGGCTACATTAGGGGATGGTCGGATCACTTTCCACTTCTGCATTTCAACCCTGAAAACAAAGTAGCGGTGAGCGAGCAGTAGCTGTAAGCATGCCACAGAGATAATAGAAAGGGGGGGGGGAACCTTGTGAAGTAGGAACTGAACCATGAGATAGTGTCAAAGTTAATATTCAGTAAAATAATAAGGATAATGCATGTACCCTTCCACATCGACAAGAGCAGACCCTGCTATTCTGATGAAGGATGAACAAGGAGTAGAGCAACACAATGCATTTTTGTACAGAGGCTTTCTGTTGCCACTTCTGCTTTTAGACATGTGGTATCAACTTTCCCATATTTTTCTGCCCTGTTGATTCATTAAGTGCTGCCAATCTGGCTATGCCACTTTTGCATCAACATAAAGGCAAGTTACAGGAATAGGACTGGCCAATGCCACTTCAGTTCCTTCTAATGACATTTCCTGATGTGAAGCATGAAATCACTCTGTACATAAAGTCAATTAGGAACTACCATCATTCCCTGCTCCATATTTACAGCTTACTACAAATCACAGCCATACTTCATGCATAAGCATACACTATTAAGAACCCATCCCTTTAAACCCACTTTAATTGTGAATACGCAACGTAACTTTGGGGAAGTTCCACAGAAGTGGGAGGGGCTTGAATGGGAAGGGGTTCCCAGCTGAGATACCCTTCCTGGGCACCAATCTGTACCTCCTCATTCAACCTTTCTCACCCTTCCCTTCCTACTGCTCCTGTTAACCCTCCAAGGCACTTGCTGCCACCAACAGCAAGTGGGGATTTCCATATAATGTGGGGAGAGCCCAGGTTACCCCATCGCTCTAACTCCCTGGTCAATACTTCCTTAGGGGGTGGGGTCTGCTTAAACATGCAAAACCCCAAAAGAATTTTAAAACTTTTAGAGGATTGCATTTAGCAGAAACTGGAAAGGTGTGAACAGTGGTTAATAAGCTGCACTTCTCAAAACAATTAACACATTCTTAAGATAACAGGGCACAAATGAAAAGACGGGCGATAAAACAAGTAATTCCCTAATGCAACTACCTTACAACAAGTTCCTTGTTTGCCTATTTTTCTTGGTCCTGGATCAAACTAACAAACCCATGCTTTCTGCACGAGGGTACGCTTTCCCATTGACAGCAACTAGCTTGCTGAACAATTCTAGGAAATGCACACTGAGCTTTTAGGAAGGAGTGATTTCTAAGTTTCTCCAGGTCCCTGCCCTTCTTATTAGAGATGAGTTACAATTTCCCTCCAGAATGGACAAGGGCCATTCTGAATTTCCCCAGGGAGATTTAGGCAGGAAGAGACGGGCTCTCCTTCTGGTAGAGAAAAATTCTCCATGAAACCCATGGCCTCTGCTAAGGAGTCCAAATGCCAAAGAGATCAACTTGAGGGGGAAAAGGCTGATGGGGCCAGAAAATGTGACAAAACAGGAAAAAAATTAATGATCCCATAGCCCACAGTTCATTACGGGGGGGGACTAATACACATTATCTCAAGCGTGAACCCTGAGCTGTCAAAAACTGGGGAAAGTATCACAAAAGTATGGAAACAGCCCTTACCAAATCATAGCTAAGTAAGCCCCTCTTTTGTTCAACATGTTTCCAGAGACTTCAATTATCCGAAAGTGGTATTTCCAATCTTAGGACGTGAATGAGACCATCAAAAAAATAAGGGATTCCTTTCCTAAACTGCATGTCAGGCTGTAATGTCTAATGGATGTAACAAAGATCCCAAGAATACCCTTTTGTTACCAAAAATACTCAAACTAGAGAAATGGTACTACAGCCCTTTCCTGTCATAATAATTTTGGTACTCTTCTAGCACCTTCCAGGAAAACATGCCACAATCCTCTGGACACACACAGTCACTGTTCTGTGTGTATAGGGCAACATGCATATTTTCCAGCTTTGGCACACACAATCAGAAAAGCAGATTTTTACAGCACATATCTGCACTTAACAAAGCCAGGAAAATACACACGCTGCCCTATTCACACAAAATGGTGACCACATATTGAGAGAACCATGCAGAGTGCCCTTTCCATGTATGCTGTGTGGCAGCTCCAAAGTCTGAATGACTGAAAAGGGCTCTAGAGGCATGCTATTGCAAAGATACAACGCAGACAGTCTAGCCCGAATACACCCACGGAAAAGATGCCAAAAGTATATCCAGAGCTGCAGAAGGATCAATGACAGAAGACAGGTGAAGCTGTGCCAGTTTAAGGACAAACAAGTTTTTATTGCCTTGCTTTGCACCTTCCTATCTCGTGCTACTCTTTGTAGCTTCTTACCCACTTGCCCGGTATCCAGTTTTCATCCTTGGTCACACACATATATTGTTCCTTTTGGGAGCATTTATTAATCTCTGCCTGATTGCCATCTTTTTTGCATTATCCAGTGTCGTTTATCGGTTTTAATATTGTTTAACTACGTTTTAATCATTTTTAATTGTTCTATAATTATTGCTGTAACCCACTCTAAGCTCTGCTGTGCAGGGGAGGGTGGGCTAAAAATCCAATTAATTAAATAAATTCCAGCATCCATTCTTGTGGACTAGAGCACCCCCACCCCACCCCTTGCCAGATGCAGACTCCCAATACAAAGGCACACCTGGTCCACAAGAGCTTCTGACAGGCTGAAAGCTTTTCTTCAAGGTAACGAGAGACTCCTGTTTCATCTTCCCGTGTATGTGGGCATTAAGTGCCATCAAGTCACTTCCAACTTCTGATGACCCTATAGATTAATGTCTTTGTTAAGTGCCATCAAGTCACTTCCAACGTCTGATGACCCTACAAATTAATGTCTTCCGGCCACCGTAAGCCGCCCTGAGCCTCTCTGCAGGGAGGGCGGGGTATAAATACAAATAATAAATAAATAAACATCCGATCGTTAACGGCCTTGCTCAGGTCCTGCAGACTGAGGGCCTTTGTGGCTTCCTTGACTGAG